AGGCGGATCTCTGTGAGTTCGAGACCAGCCTGGTCTACAGAGCTAGTTCCAGGACAGGCTCCAAAGCCACAGAGAAACCCTGTCTCGAAAAACCAAAAAAAAAAAAAGAAATCTTTCAAATCAAGTAGAAAAAAAGCAACCTAAAAGAAGCATGGGCAAAGGTGACAAAAAACAGTTTATAGACATTAAATACACATGAAAAATACTAATACTCATTATAAAGAAATATAAAGAGAAAAGCAATAACTTTTCTACCCATCAAATTAACTTTGAGTAGAAACCCACTAGTATCTAGGGATTGGTGAGGGTGAAGAAAAGGCTTTCTAGCATGGTGGTGGGTTGTGAATGAGTTCCTTTTTGGAAAGCACACACGGTCACGGAGGTTCAGAGCAGAGGGCTTCCTGTATCACAACAATTCCAAATGCCTAGAACTCTATCCTATGCACCAACGTACTCAATATGGAAAGATCTAAGCCACTACTGTGGATTTCCACATTTTCTCTGGTTCTAAACAGCTGGTTAAAAACTTGGATGTTCATCTAGTAGTTAAGTCACAACCGATGCTGGAAAGAAGTCTCATGCATGCTAGCAATGAGGGCAGGGAAGATAACGGGAGCATAGTATGTAAGGGAACTCAAGAAGCACTAACAATAAATGAGAAAATGAGGACTTTCTGCTTTGTTTCTAAGCTACTTAAAATTTATAACAATATACCATTATATAAAAACAAACAACCCGCTAGGCATTAATTAGCACTTTTGGGTTAGCACATTGGCTCGGTGGGTTAAGGCACTTGTCACTGAGCCTGAGAGCCTGACTTAGACCCCTGACACACATGGTGGAAGGGAAGCACCGATTCCTGCAAGCTGTCCTCCTACTTCACTCCACACGTGTGATATGGCCTATGTATGTATGCATGTGTATGTGCAAGCACAAGTGTACAGATGCACACACATACACTAAATATACATGAAAAAAAGAAAATTAGCTAAATAATGCTCTCTGTGTTCCAGTTATGTGGAAGAAGAACCTACAAGGATATTAAGAAAAAAGAGGCTTAGGATTACCAGCCCCACTGGCGAATGCGGCCCACAGGAGCCTCCTTCCTATCCCATGAAGCCCTAACTCCTTTAGAAACAATAAGCCAGGGAGTGAACCCAGAGAAAACACAGCAACTGTAGAACCTCTGCCTCTCAGGACAGTCCAAGTAGGAATTTGGAGCCCAACTTGGTAAATACATCTAGGTCCAGGAGACAGCACAGATACTCCCAGAGCACAGGCCAGTATCTATTTAGCTGTAGCTCTTGAGCATTTCACAATTTTCATTGGAATATAGACACACAGGACACTGGCTCTGCTCAACAAGCATGTCCCCTAGAGCTCTAGAGTTAGTGCAAAGAAGTGACTGGCACGGCGAGGGAGGGAAAGGCAACTAGAGGCAGCTGGCCGTCCACTCTGAGAACAGCGCACGGAGAGACAAGACCAGAAGAGCTGGCAATTAGTCACATCAGCAACGTTTCCCGGCCTCTCAACCGTTTCCCCTACCTTTATGAAGACTGGTAGCTTTGAGCCCTACGCTGTCTCTTCCTGCGCGTAATTCTCACACCAGTTCTCCAGTATGAGGAGTCAGTTAGGGTTGGGTGCGCACTGCAGGGTTATATAGTCCTTTACAATGTTTTATTTATTTGAGGGTTACTCATCCACCATCCACCAAAATGCCTCAGACTTCCCAGAAGATTCACCTACAACCCAACCATAACTGTTTCTTGCATATTGATTCTACTTAATGGTTCATATTTTTGGGTCAGACAATCAAGCTACTCAAAAACAATCCTGAGAAAGCCAGCCGAGTGTGATGATAATCAGCCCAAAACAACAAAGGCTGTCATCATTTTTCTCTGTATGTTTATATTGGTTTTTTGTTTGTTTTCCACCTTATAGCTGGTCCAGAGTTGGATGCTGGGGCAAGTGTCCACAGTCCTAGCACTTGGCAGGAAGAGGGAGTGGGGAAAGAGGAGGGACATAAGAGAGGGAGAGAGGAGGTAGAGAACCTTGACATAATCTATAGATGAGCAAAGCTGACCAGCAAACAGACAGACACAGAATTGCTATCCTTACTGGAAAACACAGAAGAACATGACATTAAAGAATAGAAACCTAAACTGGGCAGTGATGGTGCACGCCTTTAAGCCCAGCACTTGAGAGGCAGAGGCAGGTAGATCTCTGTGAGTTTGAGGCCAGTTCCAGGAAAGCCAGAACTGTTACAGAGAAACCCTGTCTCAAAAATCAAGTAAAAAAACAAACAACAAAAAGAAAAAAAAATGGAAACCTCAAAGTCTGAACATTTTTTTTCTATATATGCTTCAGAGATTTCCAAGTGCTTACAACGACTGTGTGTGTTTGAGTCTGGGCTCCATGACTTCCTAGCAATCATTTCACGTCTGTGGGTTCCAGTTTTTCACAGGTCTAATTTTCCTACTGTGCAGAGCCACTACGAAGATTATTAAGCCCCAGCAATAATCTTCAGAAAGAATCTAGTACACTGGCTGCCTCAGAAAAACCATCAGTATAGTAGTTAGAACAATTAGCACTATTATTATGAATGCTGAACCTGGATGCCAGTGGAGCAGGCTCAGCCCAGGAGTGGAGAATACAAACTTAGGCCTATGTGTACAAGCCTCATGGCCTGAGTTTAACCCCCAGAACCACTGTGGAAGGAGAGAACCGACTCCTGAAAGTTGTCCTCTGACCTGCACAGGTGCCCGCATTGGGGGGGGGGGACACATAGGTATACACATACATGCATATATATATATATACA